TACTCATTCCACCCATTTCTCTGGTCTTTTAAGTGCACAGAGTGTTAGCAAGTAGCAAAGCCCAGAGGATGGATTTTGGTTATTAAATTTTAAAAGAATCTAAAGCAACTATTGTAATTAGTATTCAATAAAATACTTTCAACCAAATAAAATTAATCTAGATACCGGTGTGTGTGTGTGTGTGTGTGTGTGTGTGTGTGTGTCTGTGTGTGTGTAAACATGACCTAAGGCTACCTTTCATGATAAAAATGCTACAATCTCAGCATCAGTACTGATCCTAACGCCACAGTTTGTATCAGAGAAAGCACTATTCACATAAGGCAAATTAAGACTGAATTAAATAACAGTGATTAATTTGCTTGCAGGTTAAAGCTGGATTTTAAAAATCTATAAAACTATGTAGAAACAATAGAAGGAAATCTCAGTAATTGGGGTGAAGTTTTTTCTGTAATTAGTTGCAATGCATCATTAAGTTCTATTGTACTCTGTAACTAAAAAATACAGCTCTTATAGAACTAACAAGAGAAGCATCAGAACAAAGACATCCAGCTTCAATACATTATATTTCAATCTTTTTCACTGTATACTTATAGTTAAATATAGCAACAACCACCATCAATAAAATGTTTGAAAGAAACAAACAAAAAGTGAGACAAGAAACAGAGTAAAACAAGTATTTGGCTTATTGAGAAATAAGAAATGTAAAAGAGGTCTCTAACATTGAATATAAGGTAGTTGTTAAAATTGAGAAGCTGTTTGCTAAAGTTACATCATCAAGTATATTCATATTTCTAAGATTTTGTGGCTACAATTACAGAATTTATGTCATTACTGTCATCAGCCTTTCATTTTCTTTTTTCTACCCTTGTATTTTTTTTAATTGATTAATTTTTGTTATAGATGTTTCTCCTTTTCCCCCCACTGATTCCCCCCTCCCCCTCCCTCCCTGCCCTTTCCCCAGATTGTTGTCCATGTCCACTGTTCATGCATACATGCATATAAGTTCTGTGGTTTATCTCTCCCCCACCTCCCCCCTCTTTAGGGGATTGTCAGTCTGTACCCCGCTTCCGCGTCTCTGGGACTACCCCATTCCTCAAACTGCTATGTTCATTATATTCTACAAATAAGTGAGATCATATGAAACTTGTCTTTTTCTGTTTGGCTTGTTTCACTTAGGATGATACTTTCCAGGTCCCTCCATGTCGTCTCAAAGGATAAGAGATCTTTCTTTCTTACCGCTGCGTAGTACTCCATTGTGTATATGTACCACAGCTTTTTGATCTACCCTTGTATTTTTAACAGGCTCAATTTTGTTATTATTAAAAACTCCTACAGTGAAGATGAATATATAATAGTTACATATATAGATAAATGAATAGATGATAGATAGATAGATAAATAGATAGATAGATAGATAGATAGATAGATAGATAGATAGATAGATAGATAGATGATAGGGAGAAAGAGAGAGAGAGAGAGAGAGAAAGCTTCATTACGAAAGCCATATAAGCTCATTGGCTGCTGTGCTGAGAATACACTACAAGAAAACAAAGGTTAAAGCACGGTTGTTTGGCTATACAATAACCCAGACAGAACATGATAGCGACTTAGACAAGGTAATAGCAAGAAAGGTGGTAAGAACTGGAGGCGGAGCCAACAAAATTTGGTGGAGGTCTTATTGGGGGGGTTTTCATCCTAAGTAACTGCATTGGGGAAGAATATCAGTGAAGCAGGTTTAAGGGAGTTGATTAGGAGTTCATTTCTGGACAATTTCATAGGACATGAGTAGGCAATTGGATTAGAAAGTCTATAGTTCATGGAACAGGTCCAAGATGAGCATGTATATTTTGGTGGATTAAGTATTCTCTTTATCCATTTGACATATTAAAAATGGTCTCTTGCTGTTTCAATATTAATTTATTACAAGTGAAAATAAGATATTCTTGTATGTTTATTAGTAATTTGTATTTTGTTTTCTATAAATTACCTATGTACTCAGCTCATTTTTGTCCTTGATTCTTCTTTTTGATTTATAAGATAATCTTTACATATCAAGATAATTAACCTTTCACTTATGATATTTATTGCAAATGCTCTCATTTTCATTTTCACAGTTTTTGGTATGAGAAGTTTTACATTTTCTAGCCAAATCTATTTATTACTTACTTTGTTGTATATCCCATTGTTTCAATAAGTACAAATATAAATTATCTACATATTTCCTTCCAATCATTTATGATTTCTATTTTTCACATTTAACTCTCAATCCTTCCCATATTTATGTTAGATCAGAAAGACTCCTTATTTTCTTCGATTTTTAGCTCATTTTATAGTTATATTCAATAATATATCAATTCCATCTTTGCAATGTGTCCTTTAAGTTATATTTGGTTCTTATCTATAGTAAAGTCTAGTTCTGAGATATCTATTTCATTTCTTTGTTTTGGTTACTCCCTCTTGTGTCTGTACTTCAATACTTTACTATAGTATGTTAAAGTTGTGTAACTGAAGGCCTACCAGGCATGTGGGTCTCCCCCTGGTTGGTAGGTTCATTACTAAACTGGAGATCTGGATGCCAATTTTTGTTTTCTTTTTGTTTGGTATAGCATATGGTGTGTAGTCTTAGAATACATTTTGAAATTCATAGGCACTCTCGTTGCCTATGAAATTAGCAGAAATCTCCTATACCACCTTCCAGGCCAAGACTCTGGCGTTTCTCCTTACTTACAGTGCTATTACAGTTAGTTTGTATGCATCTGGGTGGAGATTTTCATAATAGGCTGGGAGAGATTAATATAGGTTTGGAGAATTTGCTGCTACATTAAATTAAATTTAGATATGTTCTACACATGGAAAACAAAACTTTCATATCAACTAGTTATTTAAATCTGCTTCTTTTATTAGTCAAAGACAACCCAAAGATTCCCTATTCAGTTAGGAGGCAAAACCATTTTTTTCTTGTCTAAAAGTTAATTCATTTTATTATTTATACTTCTTTCTTTAAAAATATTTTCATTTGAATTAAAACTTTATTTCACCTTTAATATTAGCTTCTCCGTCTATTTTTCCTATTATTCCAGTGGATACTCTACTAATCAGCCATACATTTCTTTGACCACAAATTATGAACAAACAAACCAAAAAAACGGGATAAATAATAGGAACCCATAAATCATTTCCTGCTACATACCATGTGCTATCCCAATATCCTTGCCCTTAACAATGCAGGCAGCTGAACGGGTCCTCCAGGAGTAACATAGGCTATGTGTCAGGCTCTTTTCTAATGTAAAAGGCCATTATTCCATCATTTCACTGATGTTTCTGTCATGTACCGGGTGACCCCACCAAATTTTCTAGAAAGAAAGCTTCTCCCTGAGATGGTGATGGACAAGGTAGAGAGTGGTCTCTCAATCTCAGTTTTACTGAATGAGGACCTCAAAGGGCATCCTGCATTTGACATCTTAATGACTCACACCCGCACCGGAGGAAGACACTGTTTCTTCTTTGGATACCCGCCCTACTAACCATACATTGAATCATTTATACATTAATCAAATTCCACAGAAATGTAATATATCCTTCTCTACTCTGTGGTCACACTTTCTGCTTTAAGTGGTCATTTAACTAGAAAATTTATACTGCATTTGGTAAAATGTTTAAGGGGAACACATTTCTCCCTTTTTCAAGTAGTTACCCTTGAATATAGCACCTGTACTCCCTCAGTTGTCACATTCCATGTTTATTCCCTACACATCCCTTTGACCATCTGTTCCTAACAATGCCTGCTCTGGCTTAAAAAACCACTGCTTGTTGTTTAGTGAACATCCCCTAAACATCTACTTTATTCATTTGCTCTTTCCTTTGACTTTGAAAGGTCTTGTTGAGCAGGTCTTACAGAAAAGCTACAAGTCAACCTCATATGATTAAGAGAACAAATCAAATTTGTGGGAAATGGCAAGGAAGGTAATGTGCTGTATCATTATCATCTGTCAAAAGTCAGTACCTAAAAATAAAATCTCCACTAATGCTCACAAAGTAAAATAGCTCACAGTCGGTTTTCTCTAAAAGTTGTGTGTGCAAGCCCTATTCGCCATCCTCTAGTTTGATGTGAATCAGCTGGGTGTAGAAAGTGAGAATATTTTTTAAATTGGTTTTCTTTATTGTAAGGAAGTCTTTGGTTACTTCTTTGCCCCCAAGAAGAGATAGATGGGAAAAATTTTTAAAGCTTCCATGAAAATACAAGCAAGAAATTAGAGATATCAAATGAATGGGGAGGATGGTATCCATTCTATAGATCTGTGTGTGGAAAAACACAGAATTATAAGTTGCTTTATAAAGATGTGAGACAAAGGGGAGAGATTTAAGTGGAGGATAGCAAACACCTAATTTTTTGGTTTATAAGTAAGGAAGTTGCTTTCTGAACTTTGAATGATCAAAAAGTCAAAGGAAAAATAAAAAACAGGACCACAGACATGGATCCATGAAGCGGAGTGACAGATCTCAGAGGGAAGGTGGGAAGAGATTAATCAAAGAACTTAGATGCACATATGCACAGCCATGGACCTGGGGAGGGGGAGAGATGGTGGAGGCCAGCAAAGGGGGGAAATGGGAACATCTGTAATACTCTCAACAAAATAATAAATTAATTTTTTTTAAAATAAAATTTACCAGAAGAAAGGGCACCACTTTTAAAGTTTTAGAGGAATACAGCAAATTACTCTGAGAGGAAATAAGAGTGTTTTATGGAAATACAGTAATTAGCTGTTTTCAGGAACCACAATTTCTAAATTGAGTCTGATGACTAGTGCTAATTGATGATTAATGGTCGAGTGCTTTACCTTCTAAGCACTCAATAATGTGATTGATTGATATGTTACTTATGAAACAGTAACATTTATGAAGCAATTATACAAGCAACACGTGAGTGGGGAAAAAAAAACGACAGGCATTTGAGGATTCTATTGAAATAGAAAGTAAATAACAATAATAATAACCCATACCTTCTCTGTGTCAATGCCTTTGGACATGGACCAGGTTGAGACGATGTAATCCATGACTCGTTCACTAAGGCCTTTGGGGACCTGATAGAGTTTCAGAAAGTCTCGTACGTTATTCAGCATCTCATGGTATCGGTTGGTGTTGGCATACATTTGCTGGAAAATTGTGGTAACATTTCCAAAAATAGTTGCATAAAGAAGAGCTGAAAGAGAAGAAATGATGAAAAATGAAACAAATATTCCAAGTGAAAAACAATAATCTAAATATTGACCCAATCAATGAATAATGTGACAGAGATGTCTTTATGAACTTTAGAGGTTTAGACACGTTAACCTAACCCTGAGAAGAGCGCCTGGAATTTGGTGCTTAATCAGTAAATGTTACTTTCAGTAAGAGAAACATGAGTTCATGAACATGCAACACACCAGCCAAAGTGGTGAAACGTGAGAGTGTCTAACAGATTTCATGAAGAATTAAATGATCAGAAACTATAATTTGCATACGAAATTCTAGCCTTACGACTAAGTTATCCTCCAGTCTTGTCCTTCTCAATGAAGCCTAATCAATTTGGATTTTCCAGGGACTGACGGTCCAGTTTAGAAATATATGTTCTTTCCCACTGCCGGCTCCTTCCAGCTTTTGGAATGCTTCCCTATTTATAAATATTGTTGACAGAACATAAGAAACATAGGGACTAAAGACAAATTAAAATGTTTCATTTTTAGAAGGTTCTGAATAGAAACACAGTTGGAATTAAGAGCTAAAATAAAACTTTGGGAGTGCTTGAAAATTCAGGTTATTAAACGCATGTCAGTATACCAGTGTTGTAAATTTTTTATTCCATCATGTTAATTAAAAGTAAAGCCAGCTTGCGTCTAGACCAGTGCTATTTATCTACAGGAGCCTACAAATGGAAGAGGTTTTTATAATGCCCCTGACTACGACCTCCTCCCTCAACCGATAATTTATCAACCTTGTTCTCTCCATATCTGGTCAGGCTACAAATGCTTACCTGATCTTGTAAAAGCTTTGAAAAGCAGTTGAGTTCAGCCCACACTGAACACACCCCTAGATACACACCACCCCGCTCCATTCCATCCCTTTGATTTCCTCCCCTTGTTAACACTAACCTCTTTGGAAAGAGGACAGTACTTTATTTACCGTAGTGTTCAGTACAATGTTTAGTAACCATGTACATTCCATAAGCATTTGAAAATTGAGTGGAATATAAGACAATTATGTCCATTCTACATCCTCCAAGCATTTGAAAAAAATGACTCCTCTAAACAAAGTATGGGTTGTTTCATTTTGCCATTTCATCAATCAAAATCCCTTTTGATGGAAATGATATAAAATTAAGCAAGTGAAATAACAGGATCCTTAACATATTTTAGAAAATCATGTGCGTGTTGTGTGTGTGTGTGTGTGTTAAGAACAATTGTTTTCTGAGTACAACAAATTATATTTCACAACAGGAAGCTATAATTTTATCAGTATTTAGTCAGGAGTTCTTTGCTGTTATTTAGGAATTTTGATGCCAGTGCAGATAATTTTCAAGATAGATGATGTTTTGTTAAAACTGAGTAAGAAGAATATAGTGCTGACATTTCTCAACTGGTCTTTAAGCATTTGAATATTTATATCTTTCTAAAAAAAAGAGGTAATAGATTTAACATCTCTATTCCACCATTGTGGTATTAATAAAAACAAACAGAAATAATGTGAATAAATTAATGATAGAAAAAATCTTTTAACAAATATGGAATTTCACATTTTCAGAAAAGAGAAATAAGGAGAATTTACATTTTTAAAATAATAAGCATTTTCAGGATTAATGAAATAATGCTACAATCATGTGTTTTAATAGTGCCCACTATTTTAAGTTATCAATAAATATCACAGAACTACCTATTATTTTGACACATTTAACTTGTTTGGCTTCCTAAGATGCTTGGGATATGCTATATTTGCCAAAGTGCCTTACTACTGCTTTTTAGTATAACAAATTGCCACACATTTCATCTTTCTGGATACATTAAATATGCATACATTCTGCTCAAATGAAAAGTTTAAGTACTAAAATATAAAGAAAACTGCCAATGTATTAAAAGTTTGCAGCATTCATAAATGAAGAATGTAATCAACATCTCAATAAGTTTGGCATAGTTACAAAGGCACCCACTTCTGACTCCCATCTGCATGTGAGTATGGTGTCCTACCCTGGAGAGGACAGAACACAGTCATAATTTAAGGTAAGAGATTCAAATATATGTATATGTATTTTTTTAATTTTTTAACTTTGTATATCTTTGCTCTGAATTATAGGCACACACAATTTCTTGGATGCCTAATGGACATTCAAATCAAACGTGTCCAAAAAAGAGCTCTTAATTTACAACATCCTTTCTCCAACAGCCAAATGCACTTTTGTATCTCAGTAAATTGCAAAGCCACACATAGTTTCTCAGACCAAAAACTACCCAGTCATTCTTCACCTCACTCTTCAATTCATCTCCTACATTTAATTCACCAATTCCTCTTGGCTCTACCTTCAGATTATAGCCTCAATTCAATCACTTCCCACCTCTACCAGCATCCTAGCATAGTCTTTAATGTGTTTTTCCACTTACTAGCTTTGTGTCTTTGGGCCAGTACTAAATCTCTCTAGACTTCTACGCCCTCATTTATAACTTTAAAATTGTACTAGATTCTTCACAAAGGAGATGTGTTAAATGAGATAAATCATATAAACCAAGTTAAGAAAGTCTAGTGGAGAGTACCTATCTATGAATTGTTATGCCATCATCATTATCATCATCACCATGGAAGTAGCTTCCAAACAATTTTTCATGCAGTGGAGAGAATTATATATATGAGATCATACACAGACTTAAATCCAACCAGCCATGGTTCAAGGACACATAATCAGAGCACTGCTTCCCCCACTGATCACAATTTCTACCATCCATCCCTTGCTCTCTTTCCTCCAGTCACGCTAGCTTCTTGGTGCTACTCAAGCATTCTGAATGCATTCGCTCTTCAGGGCACCTCCACTAGCTGTTCCTCTGCCTGAAACACCCTTCTGTGAGATCCTCACCTGGCCTATGCCCTCTCCTTGTCCAGGCCTCTGCTCCACGTCCAACTCAGCACAGAGCCCTTCCCAGACCACCTGCCTAAACATCCTCTTCCTCCCATATCACTCTCCTTACTATGCCTATGTTCTTAATCTTATTTTCATTACTTTAATTTACATAGCACATCAATTTAGCATTTGTTTAGAAATGCAAATTCCATGAGTGCAAGGGTGAGCCCTGTCCTTTTTGCTAACTGCTGTATTTCCAGAACACAGACCAGTTCCTGAAATATAGTAGGTATTCAAATATTTTTTTCCAATAAATCCACACACTAAAAACCTAGAAAACAGTTTTTTCAGACACATTCTTTTTGCAAGTCGAAGTCTCACTACTGCTGACACAAAAACATAGATGACATATACATTATTAATGCAGATAGAAGGATAAAATATTTAGAAGCCAACGTGACACATGTCCTGACTATATGAAGATAATAAATAAATTGGGAAGGCCTATTGTCATTTATTAAATATGGATGTCCATGCTCGGCCTGGCCAGTTTTATAGAGGCTTATTATATAATTTTACCCTTTGAAAGGGATGTCATATAATCAATTTCCCTACTTTAATAATAATAATTAAGCTAATTTGTTAAAATTTGATAAGCCTCCTTGTTATACGCCCTCCTGCGAACTTTCAGGCTTAAGACAACTTAAAACAAGCTAATTTTACAAGCTTATCATATTTAAAGTCTTGGTAAATGACATTTAAAAAGTCGTACTTTTTTAATTCACCACACAGGGATTATTTAGAAGGTAATTATGGTCGACTTCAAATGGCCACAAACTTTCTGATACCCCTTCCACCGAGAAGCAGGGTGTATATCCTTTCCCCTTGAATCTAGGTGTGCTCTGTGCCTGTTTTAACAATAGAATAGAGTAATGTGATCAAATGCCGATATCTGGGCCCAGGCCCTAAGAAACTAGAACCTTGTAACCCTCACTGTTAGGACACTGCTCTTTGTGCGGAAGCCCGCGCATTCTCCTGGAGAGTCCACATGGAAGGAATCAAGGCCCCTGGCCAACGGCCTCGGCTGAGCTCCCAGCTGAGCACTGGCCTTAGACTGAACCGTTTAAAATATTGATATGAGAAGACACTAAGGTAGCACTAAGGCTACTTAGGTGGTTCAACCATCACTTCTCTTTCTATTTATATCCGTATTTAATAATGGCAGGTAAGATATGAAGGGAAATGTCCCCCCAATCCATGACGTGTGCACAGCGAACTGCCGGACAGCATCAGCTCTGCAGCCTTGGAAGCGGCTGAGCCGATTCAGAAGTGGATTCTTCAGACCCATTCAAGCCAACTCAGCTGACAGCACACGGGCTAGAAGTAGATCATGCCTCCTGGCCCTGCATAAATTGCAGATTCATGAGTAGAATAAATGGCTGTTCTTGTTTCAAGCCACTGAGTTTGATGAGTTATGCAACTATAATAATAAACCCTAATAAAGACAGATTGTTTCTCAACTGGGTAGGAAACCTGAGGGAAGAGGGTAATGAGCTTCTCATCACGCACATCAGAGCCTGACAGCACATTTTGAAAAATTCTTTTCTAAATATTTAATATATTTTATACTTTAAAACTCAAAAATACCTATTATTTTTATCATATAATCAATAAAGTCATGAGTTAATGTTTAATGTTTTCAAAAAGAGATATAGGTTAAAATATTGAATGATGCTATAACATAAATCAGAGATTTCATTATTCATTCAAACGTTGTTGCATTCAGTAGATATTTACTGAATACCTATTATATGCCAGCCATCAGTGATACAATGATTAAAAAAAAAAAAGACAACAATGTCTGCTCTCAAGTAGTATCCACTGCTTTCTACAGAAGACTATTAGTGTTGAATTCACCCAAATCACAATCTTCTAAAGAAAGCTAATGATCTTTTTCTTCTCATCATTTATAAAAGTTCAGACCTAAACTTATAGCCATTCCAAGTATCTAAACTATAGTTTATTTCTCATGGTTAAACAACTTGCAGAGTCAGACAAAAATCCATGTTCAGCTCGCTAGTTGTAGCTCAACCTCCACGCCCACAGTTGCCCATGCCAAC